CCCTGCAGAGCATACCTGATCCCGCTAGAAGTTTGAAAGGCTGTTCATTTGACGTTCTTATAGGGGGCGCATGGTTCGTCTCCAGTCACCAGTTTGACTCAGTTCCTTCAGATCTGGGCGCACAAGGAGTTAGCAGAGACAAATATGTATTGCTCGTTTACAATTTCTTTTTACAGGGGGTCCTTATGTTTTCAAAGGAATGAGGACCACAGGAGATGGAGGGACACTTAGGCCACAGTAGTCAAAGTGATCAGTGCTTTACGGTCATAGAGAATAACAAGCGAACGACGACGACATTGACTTGCTTTTTCTTTCTAGGATGGTTTGTGGGGTTTCTTCGTGTAATAGTGAAACTGCTTTCTTACTTGTTTCAGTTCAACAAACCGCCCTGATAAAGTCGCTAGCTATCTACTACCCCCTTCATTCGCTTGTCAGTCTACATATGAGCTTTCATGAATTTCAAAATGTTAGACGTCCTCCAAAAATCAAGGGCTTCAACTCTAGGCGGTCTTCAATGGAATTTCACTCTCGAGATACTGCCTGAGAATGGTGATGCTTGACTATGTAAGCGGAATGACCATTCGTGGCGAAGTCCCTTGAGAACTTTTGCCGAATTTACGCTAACGTCCAGATGTGGGAGACTATGGTTAAAAGGGTAGCAGACTACTGGATTAAGCATCTTGAGATTACACAGTGTGTGCAACCGCATCGTATACCCTTCTAATGCTACCTGAGAAATTTTAACGCATTGACGACCGCGCGCGTTTTTACTTTTTCGGCCTCGTGGGACACGCGCGCTTTCTCGAACGCCACAAGCGCGGTACGCATACAATTCACGCGGTCCCACGAGGCGCTTTTTTGGAGATTGGATCGGAAAACCTGGTTTAGAGAGCAATTATGAAGTAAGTCAATCATTCACTATGGAAAAAACTAGGCTGGCCAACTCTCGTTGCACTAGGTGCCAGAAATTTGTCTGTAACCAATGTTTTCATAAAAAACACAAGTCGTGCCTTCTACAGGACTCAGAATCCTTCATCTTATATTTTTTAATCATTATCAATATGGTATTTATCTGCATTTGTTAGTAAAGTGTTGAAGAGCAAACCAATCCAGAGTTGAGGAGCAAACCAGTCCAAGCAAATGGTGTTCTTTCCCCAAGAAGTCTTTGCTAAACTAGTGTGTATTATTCCATAGACTACGCATTTACAAATATACTAAGGACAGAACTATAGAATGAAGAGGAGAAACTAAACAAAAAACCATGCACTAGTGAAAGATATGGATTTGTTGATCGTGATTCGTATTCAATGCACGCGGTCCACAAAGCGTGCATTCAGTGCGTATCACGCGATCGTCAATGTGTTAATCGCATTCTGCGCTTCAGCTTGCACGATGTTTTTGTCCACGCCGCCAATTTCACGACGCCTGTTGCCAGCAGTCTGTTACCCTCCCACTTCTCCATGCTCTCTGCTACTGGACGCAGCCGTACGCGCAGAACCCTGACGCGAATTATGAACGCGGCTTGCATATGGAGCGTTGCTTAGCCTCAATGGGGACTTTATTTGAAGGGATCCCTCTCGCAAGCACTTCTGGCGTTTATCTTTGCTATTTTCTAACGTACAACTTATTGCAGTAGCCTTGGTCGTCCTTGACCCTCTGATCACACTAGCTGATTACATACAAAAAACATTGCAAAAATACTGCTACAATTTTAGTGATCGCGAAGAAGGTGGTAAATATTACTTTGACTCAAGGGTCCATGTTTTCTTGAATCATCTTCATTTCACAGCGCGTGCAGTTTCTCACCGATGGAAGATTTTTTGGAAATCTTTCATCGATAGATTCTCAGCCGATAACTGCTATGTAGTTAACTCTTTTATTTATCCAATGTAATCAGTCACTAGTACAATTTTTTTCTAACTATACACGTAGTCTCTAACAACATTGGAAGTTATGTCACTTACAGTTGAATACAAATGATAGAGCGTGAAATATCTTGTATCAGGACCGATACTAGCGCTTAAACATACCGGACAAGATTAAAAACTTTTACATGACAGACATACGATAAACAACGATAATTACAAAGAGTCAGGAGACGTAATACAAGACGAGTTTTTGGGGTGGCTTATTTATCAGCAAACATCGGAGAGATCCATCGCGCGCAAGCGTCAACGTATAAGCGGCAACTATTTGAGTGGCTGTTCTTCCCGATAGGTAATGCATGCCGCATATCATCCTGGTCCGACGTGCAGACGCCATATATCGTGCGCGCTACCTGTGAGGTCCGTCTTTTCCTCCCCCCCCCCCCGCCTCTCTCCTAAACCATCCTTGTCATGTTCAGTTTGAGTGAAAAATAGCCAAGATTTTCTAAACGAGCACAACATGTTTACTCGACATATAATCTAAACAATTGCAAATTTTTCCGTGAAATCAGCCTCATCCCTTCACACAAAGCCACTGAAATTATAGTCGATATCATCCAGTAAGGTGATATCGAAGGGCACTGGGGCTATTCGACGACGTTTCCTGCTATCACGTACCTCCGATGCCACTTCCAGTGCGTATCTCTCAATAATCTGAAATATGAATACGTTCACCTACCCAGAGCTGACTATGAAAACATGCCTGGCGCCGAACAAAAATGGAAAATGGAAGGAGAACCCACCTTTTTTCATCCAAGGGATTCAGTTGGGGATTTTTCGATGGGGTACGCATGAGACGGATCTTTTTGTTGTTCGCCGCTTTTGCATTTGCCTTCTGCCTCTCCCGTTCTTCTTCTTCACGAGCACGGCGAGTTAGTCGTCCATCTGACTTGGAAATCTCATCTAGAAAAAGTGATAGATGGAACAGCCTAGGCATGCAGACAGAATATCCTCTTTTTACTCATTCCAATGCATTGTTGTTACTCTTCCTGAATTCTAAATCCCTAACGATAAGAATTGCCAACCATACAGTTTGATATTTTTGTTTTTTTTAGTATGTAGCTGAAATAACCCCTCTAAGTAAACAAAGCTCCACAAAACACACCTGAAACATACTAAAACGACCAATGACAGCAAAGGTTCTAACCCAATGTCCGCTACATTGTTTGAAAGATAGTGTGAAGATTTGCCTGAAAGCGATTTCCACTAGTGAAACGAAACTGTACTACACACCGAGGAACGCGAAGCTTATCTAACGTTGTACAACATAAAATCGCTTGCAATCTTCAAAAAAGAACACAGTTGTTGAGCAGATATAACACAAGTCGAATGCAAAAAAGCAAGCGAAATCCTTGCTGGACAATCTTCAAATCTTACAATGCAGGTTTTTAACAGCATTGAACGCGAACAAACTTACTGTTATTCGAAGGCTACCACTGAGGAACTCTGAATTCAAATCTTATTCGCTTCTGGAAATCACTAAGAGTTTCGACTCACAATCTTTCTAGAAAGCTAAAAATTGAACTCATAATCAAATCAGTAATCAAAAGCAAAACTTACCTTGCATAGATACTTTGCAGACTGTATATCAGTGCCTTCCAAATGTATAATATGGTTGTAGAGAATTCATCTTCGTCGGATTCCCCCAGTCATTCGCAAAAGTCTGAAATTCGATAAGTCCGTTCACTGTACACAATTTCAAACACAAAACCAACCAGAATACAATTCATAATTAACAACTGGTCAGAGAAGATCTTCACACTAAACATTTAAGAGTCGACAAGAATGATAAGAGAAACAGAGAGAAAATCAAAGAGGTGGGAGCGAAACCGATTTGGCTTTCAGGTTTGATACTTACTTCTTACACATGCTTCTCGTTGCTCGTGTCTCATCGATCAACAGTTTTGCGCCTGCTACAGCAGCAGCATCATAGTTCAGTTCTGTTCTTCCGTTTGCATCAAAACCATCAGGATTGCTTAACTGACGACGTACTTCTTCACGCCTCCTCATGTATTCCTCCTCCGTCTCTACCTGAATCAAAAGGAAGATCCGAGGTAGTTCTCAAGGAAAGAATATCACGACATTGATCTAGACCTCGTTGTCGAAACCACGCAGTTCAACAGCCGACAGCTGGTCCACGGCATCTGACAGAATATCTTCACGTAGCTCATCAAGCTTAAAACACCACATCAAAAGGATAACATGAAACAACTAGAAATAGTCTGAAGAACGTCAGGAGAGCGTCCATACTCGCGATTTGATCGCGCCACCAATTCGTACGCGCGACCAACGGAGAACTGTGAACGCATCTATCAGCTCTTAGACCCATTCAACAACACCGCGCCTGTTCGATGCACAGTCAGGAATGCGTATATATGGAATGCATATGTTTTGCTACATTTTGCTACCCATGTCATACTTCTCGACACTAGAAAGCAGAAAGTTAAAGGTTAGTCCTTCATCTTTTACAATTTGATCACCAGTTGCATGTTATGTCTGATGGCAATTTTTGCTGCCATAACTCCAACATTATATTATTATCCCTTTCCTCAGCTAAAGAAAATAATCATAGAAAGATTGACACCAACTTTTCTTGCAAGCGTGGCAGGTGAAAACGGTCGATCGAATTGTGAGGTAATGTTGGCAGATTCGCTCGATCTTCTCCTCTGAATGAATACCAATAAAACATTGAAATTAACCCATAAGCATTGTTTTTATACCAAATCATTTGACAAAAGTCATGCATCGGTAATTAGTTCCCGTAGTTTATGAGAATCATCTGTTCTCATGCTGCATGCGGTTTTAAGTACGATCTTTCAGGATAAAACAAAGTAGAGCGGCGCCACTCACTACTTGGTTCTCAACATAGTACCAGTTGTAAATAAATTATAAAATCAGGTAATCTCAATCGAAAGAAAAAAAACAATGAAAGACAGTCGTGGAGAACAGAACGACAGAGAAAAGAGATCATACGAAGAATAAATAGTACCATGGTAAGAAAAAATGTCAAAATCTCTACATCACTTTCTCAACAAGCAAAAATACTTTAACTTGTGCTCTTGCACAGCTGTAATATAAACAATCTTTAGAGGTTAACTATCAAATCGAGGAATTAAGGTTGGCTGCTTTTCAAAAAACGGTCAATATCTAAACATTCAGCGATGAATCCCTCTTCCGTAACAGTAATCATTCGCAAATTTCATCAAGCACGAGAAAACGGTACAAACCTTCGGAGAGTTTTCGACTTCGGCGATTTCGCTGGATCGCCTTCTTCTGGAGTAGCCTTTCGTGTCGGGTTTCTTCATTCTGCAAATTAGAAACGGTGAAATGATGAGTGACTGTGGAGTCCAGCAATTTGGTCACTGACCTGTATAGAGGAAAAACAACAATAAACAGCAGTTGTTGGGTCTTGTCGCAATGGCGTCACACAAGTTTCAAACACTGTCAATTGGCGCCGCGACATATGACAACTCGTCCACTCGTCTACGCGGCATGCCGCACACTTGATTGAGCTCTCGCGGCCAAATCTGAGTGTCAGGGCACATCGTTGTTGGGGAATCCCCAATAGGGAGGGTCGTATTTGGTCGGCCAGGAGGA